GAGTGTTTCCCACTCTGAGCAGCAAGATTTGAGGGAGACTAGAGAGAAACCGAGTGAGAGTGAGACCGTAGTGAAAGACCCTGACAACAACTGTGGTGGAGAGATAGATGGTGGCACTGCTGTGGAAAGAATGTGGCAAAGTGTAACCAGAGGAGCCCTGAGATAAAGGCCACAGTTAAAGGTTTTACCGTTCTTACCTGATGATGGAAGGGAAAGCTGCCTACTGAACTGAAACCAGGACTTTTACTAACTGAGGAAGTGTGTCTTGTCATCTGGCTTTGGACTGTTGGACAAAACCTAGACTTGCATTGGGTGATATTCTTTGCTCCCCCGCTACTCGCCAACTTACTTGCCTAATAAGCCTCAATCTCAGTACTACAGTCTGTTGAGTCAATAATGAATAAATGAACCTCTTCCTGCTGGTATGGCTCTGGAGGCACCATGGGGCTGAGCTACTGGCTCTTTTTCTTCTTTCTGCTCTGGGACACTGAGGGGCTATGCTATTCTCACATCCTCTGGACATTTCAGACAGATGCAGATGGCTCTGTGCCCCCATGTCCCATTTTCTGCTCACTAAACAGCCTGAAAGCCTGCAATAGCAAGGAAACTAAATAGTTATAGACAGCAGAAGCTACACTGGTAAAGTTCACAGGGGCAGAGTACATCGAGTGAACAATTTTTCATTTTAAAAAATATTATTTGGAGATTTTTAAACAGGAAAATATTATGTATAAACATGCAATTTTGAATGATCAATTTAGGAAAACAGAAGATACCTAACAATATATAAGAGAGAGACAACACCAGAGACTATTCTAATAGGCTTAGGAAATGATGATGAAGGCCTCAGTAGGGATAACAACAAGAGTGTGAAGGAGGGGGCAGGTAAATATTAAAGAAAGATTATGCTCTATAAATCTTAATGCAAGCATCATCAAAATAAAAAGAAACAGATACCCTGTAAACAAAAGATTAAACAAGACTTGGTGGCAAGTGAGAGCTGATTTGGTGGGGCAAGAGCAGGGAGGCAAAAAGACAAGCAGTATTTTAGAAAGGGCTATTTATGATGGGAAATAT